AAACAAAAAACCCACCCCCCCCTCCCCCCCCCCCCAAAATACATCTGTTTTTGAAATATCTCGGCTTTCCATAGATTTGAATGTAATCTGAAGGAACTATCATCTTTCCCAGACTCTGAAAGTCTTTGATAGATGTTTTCATGTCAGATGAAGGACTGAACTTTTACATGCAAACAGTTTTGCTTTCATTCATCCTAAACTGTTAACATTTCATGTCTGTACGTATCCATGCAAATTTTTAAGCTGGTGGGAACATGTAATTGTTTTCAATCCATAGATTCTCCCTTTCCTGTTAAATTTGTAGAACCAAAATTCGTCTTGTGTAAATAGACGAAAGCCAGAATTAGGACATATATTTTGGAATGAAATAAAAACCATGATTCATTATGTATTAAGCTATGGCTCCCTGTAAGCCTGAAAAAGAGGTAATTTAGAAAAGAACATTCCTTTTCTGTGATTTATTCCATGTGCATTCTGTAACTTCATTGGTGGACTTAAAAAAATTTTTGAAGTTGCATTAGTTTTTCCAATATCTGAGTACTTAGTAACTTATCTTAAAAAACTCAAGTATTTTCTATACTTTTTCAAGAAACGAGTTAGTTGGATGTTTGTGATGCCACTGTCTTCATCTTACAAAAAAAAGTGAGTAAATGTCAAGTAATTTCTGTCAGGTGTATGCTCCAAATGAAAGTCCATCAATCATTTTTGGCCCTTTAGTGCAATGATTATCATTTCAAAGACGCAGAAGGACATTAAAGATAATGGCTTTTCTGTTGTCTATTATCTCTAACAGACTTCACATAATTATTAACATGTGTTCTCATTTAAGAACAGTGTCAATATTTTGAGTGAATTGCATTTTTTTAACTGAAAGGGATATGTCTGTCAGCAAGTTTTTTGTCCATCTAACTAAATGAGGAATTACAATTAATGAATTTTGTGTTTCCGCAAGAAGGACAGATATTGCAGAAAATGTTGGAAGCTTTGCAGGGTTGAAACACAATGACTGTCTTCAGCTGTCTGCATAAGATAATAAACAGCGTTCGAACTTGAGTAGAAGTAGTAAAATGCTAGTGCGTGCTCTTCTGAGGCACTCTCACTTTCTTATTATTTTTTGTGCTGTACTGAGAAGAATGAATATGGCATTTCCTTGTTTACCACAAAGCTCTGCAGTCATGTAGGATATGGAAAGTATCCATAAAGGGTAAATATCTATTTTGTGGTTTTGTCTTGTTTTTACAGTTTTGATAGGAGTAAAGATATTGAAGTAAGTTTCTTGCTAGCTCATTCCTTACCTCTTATTTTATCCTGAGAAATTGCCATCTGCTTGTTCTTTAGCAAAAGACTAAAAGTAGTGGGGTTTTTTTATCCAATGGAATCGCAACTAGAATTACATGTCTCCTAAAGTATCTTTAAAATATTTTTAAAATATAAATCTATGGTTCATCCAGTTTAAATAAAAAACAGTTAAATTTGGCTCTCCTTTGAGTAGGAATAGAAGAGATAATGTCTGTTCTTAAGCTTCTGAAATTTCATTGGTAACTCCTGGGGTGCTTATGTAGAATGCCTTGAGGGGCATACTTACATGCCTCTTGTGCAGGATATTCTTCCTCTGATTGCACAGGGTTTCAGCGGAATACTTATGGATCCAGGCTGTTGACTTCACCATAAAAGTTAATAAGTGGGAATGGAGGGAAACACTGTGATATGCAGAACGGCTTTTTAACTTATGGTTTCTCTCAGTAAATTTAAATATTATGGAAAGAATCCATGCACTAGCAGGAGGAAGGATTTAGCTTTTAATCACTAAAGTAAACTGAATCTGTTCAGATTTCAGCACCCGTAAATGTCCTGGACAGAATGTAGACATTACAGTTAGACAAAACAGTGAAGTCTGTCATATAATATTTAATGAAATATATTTCTGGCTACATTAGAGAAACACCTTTTAATGGGAATGACAGAATAATTTATTAATGTATTCAAGCTTCAGTATGTCTCCAATTTAAATTAGATGGAAAATATTTGAAAGATGTAGAAGGGGCACTTTTGTACAGCAAATCAACTAACTTAATAACATTAAAAAATAGTCAGGGAACACCACATAGAGGAAATAATGTTATGGATCAGTGATTTAAATGAATCATCATCAGCAGTCACAATTTTGTCACTGAGCCAGTTGATGCTGCATCCATTTCAATGATACTTTCGTAGTCTAGAGGAGCAGCAGGCAGCTGGCAAACCATGCCAGCTGGCAGAGTAGCATCAACTGGCGTCAGCTGGATTTTAGCTGCTTACCTGTCACTGCCAGCCACAAGCAAGTCCCAATATGCTGAGAGGTGATCTGTGATTTGTCTTTAAAAGCATAGACTAAATAGTTCAATGCAGTCTTTACAAACTTTCATTTTATTTGCCTTATGGTTTTTATGACCTGGAAAAGTGCTGAATTTTTTGTCTCCTTTCCATTTGTAACTCACACAGATATTTAATTCCCTGTCTGTGACTTCCCCCGAATAACTGTAATTTTGGGCAAAATAAGTATCTCTGAAAATATGTTCTCTGATTTACTACTGTTTATATATTTTGTTGCAAAATCTTTCAAGTTACACATTGGTTCTAAAAATCTATGACAAAATACCTAACATTACAGCAGTGTTTTTAGAGTAGTCTTATGCCAAATTTAAGCTATTCTCTTGTCTCGTTGCCCCCCTTTTGCTCTCTAATGAATAAAATACTAGCCTTCAGTTACAGATTTCAGTTGGTTGAAGATATTTCAGGTAGTCTGAGATTGATGCCTGGTAATTGTGACCATGTGTACATTTGTCAAAAATGCATGTGAACATACAGTTAGTTTGCCATTTTAAAACATGAGTCTCTCTTTTAGCTTTTAAAATTATACCATGTCTTCTTTAAAATTTTTTTTCATTAATCTTTTAGGGATGAAGTCTTGCTTAGCAACGTGAGCTAGTTTGATCATATCTGCAGAACATATCAGCACTTTAAAATACTTTAATAGAATGATTTCAAATGTCATATTGTCAACAAAGGCTATAGTCTGGAAAGGTTTTGCTTCAAACTAGCCATGTCTAATGGGGTTTATGACAACCTATGAATTTGCCCCTGAACAAGGTCAACTTGGAGGTCAGTGAATGCTATACAAATTGCATGCTACTCAAGCCTGTAATTATCCCTGTAAGAAGTTAATGTGCTGCGGAGTTCAGCAAATTCATGTAAAGCTTCAGAAATGACCATGATAAACTGAGCAGTTACTTACATTTGCTCTGAAAAATTGCAGTCAACAGGATGTGATGCTTACAGAGTATTTGTTTATGGTAACATAGCCAAATCATATTGTCTACTTGTGTACTCAGGAGGTAAAGAGCCTGAATTTTTTCTGATTTGAATAAAACACTGTAAATAGTATTAATTTCTTAATAGCCAGTATACATGCTGTACATATAGAATGAAAAACCCTCTCAGGGTACATTCTGTTTCCAGTTCTGGTAGAAAATATGCAACATCTACTTTAACATAAGTTCTTTAAATGTTGAGTTCCTACAACAGGGATGTAAAATATGTCAGATCTTTGTTGAAGGCAGCATGTATTCCAGCTTGTTCATGTATTGTTCAGTTTCAGTACTCTATAAATAAGAACTACCTTCGCATTTTCAACTGAAAATATCACTGTCATTTCTCTTTTTCCTATGTTTTTCAACTACAAATCTACTTTTATGTAGGTGAATGACTAAGTAATTGAGCAGTTAAATATTCCTAAATCCCATAAAACATAGGTAAGAAACATTTGTGTGAGTTATTATTAATTTGGCCAGTTAACTGTTTGTAATGCGAGCATCTGTAAGAATATTACAGGAATAAGGGATAACAATTACTGAAAGTTTTCTGTATTACTAAATATCCAAATATTAGTGCCACCTAACTATTAAAATTAAATTTGGATAAATATAGATTAAATATTGTTCAGATACTATGAATACAAATTGAGGGAAAATTTAGCTATTAGTTTTGATTTTATATATGAGTTAGTATTTTTAATAGCATTTGTCCATCAACGCTACAAAGTAAGCCAGCTGCTTGGATCTGAACTTATTTTGTATTGCCTGTTGTGATGTGGTGCTGTCATATCTTCCTTATAAATCAAAATCACAAATACCAACAGTCCAATCATTGTGGACATTTCTAACATCTGAACTACACTGATAAAATTCTGATGGTTTACTTTTCATTACTTTATTTATGGACTGATCCACATCAGTGTCACTAATTTCAACCAGCCAAAATAAATTCCTCAAGGTTTCCCCTCTGCCTTTTTCTTCTCTCCTACCCAACATCTGAAAAGATTGCAATCTGCATGTCAGTATATTATACTAGCAAGTGTCTGTTACCCAAAATGTGAAAAAGATCCTTAAATCCTTATGAAGTGTCAAGGGTGTGGAAGAAGCACATTCAGACAAGAGTGAAAGAAATCCTTTCGATAGCCCCTAGTGTTCCAGAAGTAGTGTTGAGAAGGCACGAGAAGACAATTCACCAATTCTCCTTGGTCGCGAATTGATCCTTTGTCAAAAAGATTTAAATGTGTTCACACTGAGATATAAAGTAGCAGACAAACCAGGTAACTTGTGATGTACTCAGTCCCTTATATAGTTCTGCCCTGATCACCTTAAGGAAAAGGGGGGGAAAAGTATACTTCAGAATTAATATTTGATATGCCTTTTTCTTCCTTCTTAATAGCATCCTACAAGTAAGAGGTGATGTTCTTTACTAGACCTGGTGAGAATTCAAGCTTACATTTTTCAGGCATTTGTTAAGGTGCAGAGCACAGAGATAAGATGAAGGTCCTAATACCATATTTAGTTAATAAAAATGTTTGATCTTTGAGAGACATTGAAGTCAATTCACAAATTAGCTTCTGTCATTAATGTGAATGAATCTTTTGTAGAGTGCTCATTTGATCTCAGATAATTTTGCTCCATCTTTCTTAGATTATCAAATTGTTGGATGGAAAGCGGTCTCAAACTGTAGGAATTTTAATATCCAGTTTGCACCTGGAGATGAAGGATATTCAACAAGGTAAGTGTTTCTTACACCTGATGTTTTATATTTGCATGGCTATTTTCTCATAGTCCCCTTCAGAGACTTTCTTACATTACAATATGTGTTTTGAATATAGTTCTCTTTAAGATAACAGAAGAACGATTCTTCCACTATATGTAGTTTCACCTAAATAATCAGAATTGAATTTAGGCACAACTCCTGTACCATTTCAGTTCTCATATCACTTTCAATACAGTGTTTTCTCAAAACTGTTTCATATTCGTCCCTTACGGTTCCCTCCTTTTCCTTAAGCAAGTCCTCCACTGACAAAAATGAAATGGAGGGCTTATATGTAAATCTTTTGGGCATCAAGCATGCAGTTGATATTTGCTGAATGTTTAAATTTTTCTTCATTATCAGTATAAAAAGCACATCCCAAACTAATGCAGTTACGACATAGCAATCAGAAAGATGATTACCGAATGGCATTTTTCAAAGCATAGGGCTACTCAGTGTATAAATTCCATTACTGTTACAAATTATCTGAGTTTGCCAATACAACTGTAGAGAAATACAGATTTTTCAGAACACTGGGGTAATTCAGATTCTGCTTATGTTCTGGATTTAAAAAGATATTGTTTAAGGATATTGTTTATTTCTTTTTCACATTAAAAAAAGGAAAATATTCACCATTTAAAACAACTGTTGGAAGAATTCAAGTTGATGTCTCCTTTTTGCTATTGTTTTCCTTCCATCACATGCAAATACTGGGTAGGGTGTTGAGATGCTGCTGGCATTGATTATTATTAATTTCAAAAGGGCCTTTGAGCATCTAGCTCTTTAAGAGCACAAGGGCTTACAGATGTCTCTTGGGATGGAGGGAAACAACGAAAAGAAGGAATAACTTTGTGCCTGCCAGTATTGTGTGAAAGGTATCAGAATGAGATGGAAAAAACTGCTATTACTAAAGGTCTGAATAATTTGCTGGCAGAAATTACAGCAGCATAGGATAGGATAGCAGCTGTATTATAAAAACTGGGTAGTATTCATAAGTATCTTCAGACATGTTTTCATGACTTTTTATTTTCCGTGCCATGATGTTCTACTAAAATAGAACATCTTTGTCTCTCTGTCTGTCTGTCTATCTATCTATCTATCCATTGTTTGCTGTACTTCTGTAGCTTTTGAAACCCTCTGTCCAATTTATACTAAATTTAAGAGAAAATAAGTCAAATGTTCAGGTATGTGTACACTAGCATTTTAGCTTGAGTCAGCAGTGCACTTTCAAATCAAAGCTACCAGTTGTCCTCTTTGCTGTGTTTGCATTGCAGAGCAATGCAGAGCAGTCTCAGAGTGCGAACATCCTTCAGAATTAAGTTAAATGAGATGACGTGCTCTAGAAGCATGCCAGCAGTCACCACCTATAGCAGGCTTTAAATCGTGCAGGATCAGATCAGAGATAGTTAAAACTCCCTGAAATGTGTATAGTGTGCACACTGGATCCTTAGTACCAGCTGTTGCTGTCTACAAATCGATTTCTAAAGACTATGCTACTTGCAGTTGTAGACATAGCTAATGTAGTCCCTCAAGTTTAATGAAAATTATGAGTGTTGGTAGAAGAGACACCAAAACAAGTGCTGTCACTGAAGGAAAGTTTATAACTCATCACCCTCTCTATTCTGAGGTAGCAAATGACTGGTCTGTCACCACATGTGTTGCTCAAGGCAGCAATAGGATATGCTGCCTTTTGCTTATGGAAACAGCTAGGAGATACAAATGGGATTTGGGAATGGTGTTAGTTGAATTTATTTTTAAAATATATTAACAAAGCAGGATGAGTGACTCTAATCAAGATCTGTGTGCAGAGACTACCTAGGGAAAAAAAACAGGTCACCAAACTCAGGGAAAACATCTTTTTCTGTAGAGAGGATCTTTAGAAATGCTAGACATCAGTAGAATTATGCTTGTTTCTGTTTTAGTGTGTGTTTATCCCTTGGCATTTTTTTTAATTTAAATCTGTGTGCAGTCCTGCCAAACAACAAACAAATTATCTGAAGCCCGCTATAGTCAATGTACTGGATGAAAAAAGATCAGAAGAAGCTAAATAGTTCATGACAGCACCTAACTGAAAAAGTGTATGATCATTCAGTGATGAATGTCGAAGTTCGGTTTTAGTTTTGTTTTTTTTTTTTTTACAAAGTGAAGTTACAAAGAGCTACCTCTAAGAAACATGAAGTTTAAGCACTGATCCCTTTTTTCAAGCAAATTTCCATTTCATAATTCAATATGTGAAAGATAGGGAAGAGAAAAGTTAATGGTCTTTGGCAGCTTCCAACAGAGAAAGTAGAAACTTGAAGCAAAAGAAAGTCAAAGTGAAGGAAAAAAAAAAAGGTATCTGATTTTATTTCAGATTTTTCTGACTACATTTGTACATGTCTTTTCAACAAACAAACTTACTGTCTATGTATAGTATACTGGTTACTCTACCTTAAATAGCAGTTACAAAAACACAGATACAGAAAAACTGTCCTCAGATTCACTGCCCTGTGCATACAGATGCATGCAAAATTGTAGAGAAGACAAAATGGGTAATCACAAGAAAAATTACATCCTCCTTTAAAATAGTATGAGATTTCTGCATATATAGGATTATGCTCTCAAATTAGAGTAAAGATCTTCACAGCAGATTCTATAGATAGTTCAGCAATGCAGAAGAAGCAAGTGACCAGATCTGGAACCCAGATGTTTCAGTTTGCATTTGATAATGAGCCAGCTGCCACACTTAAGCAAGGGAATCTCCCACACATGTTTGTTTAAGAGTGAAGTTCGTGCATTGGAGTTAAGTTTAAATTTTTGCTGTATGTGAATACAGTCTAGAGAGAAGACAGTGTAAGACCAAGTGATTATTTTGGCTAGTGTTGGTGTTATATGATGCAGAGAGAAAGTTAACATTGTCATGCTGCACCTGTCCTAATACTCAGCTTTTTGGTAGGTGGGAGAGGAGGACAAATCCTAGGTGCTGTAATGTTCTCAGAATACTAACAAATTTTACTGATGAGTCTGGTACTGAAAAGGGTAATATAGTTTTTGATTAGACCATTACTAATAATACTAATTTCCTGAGCAGAAGGAGCAGGCAGAAAATATGTCTGTCTCAATATGCTGTATAGGATCTGTATTTATATTTAAAAGTCTGTCCTGGCTGGGGCTGGCCTAGAGTTCCCGTTGGTCTGGCAGCGGGAGGAGCTGCAGCACCCTGAGACCCCAGGGGCTCCCCAGGTCCCAGTGCCCTCACCTGTGTGTGGGGGCGGGGGGAGCACAGCTGGAGGGCTGGGCCCCAATTGGCTGATATCCCATGTCATGTGACCTTGTGCTCACTATATAAAGGCAGGAGTGGGCCAGGAGGGGCTCTCACTTCTGGGAGTGGGGCTGTGGGGCCTTTGTGTTTGGGATGGCCAGCCGGGAGCAGGTGGGTGTCGGTTGGTTGGTGGGTGCTGAGCAGCTGTATGGTACATTACCTGCTGATTCTGCTGTCAGCGTATTATTCTGTCACTGTTATTAAACTGTTTTTATCTCAGCCCGCGAGTCTCCCTTTGCCCCTCTGATTCCTTCCCCATTCCCAAGTGTGGGGAGGGTGGGTGAGCAGCTGTGTGACATTTAGCTGCTGACCGAGCTCAAACCACGACAAAATCAAATAGCAATAATGAAATTGTGCATACGTTTGAGATAATTTTCAAGGCTGCTTCCCTGTGTTTTTTTAAAAAACATTTATAAAGACAAGATAAGGAATAGTGGAGATCAGCTGTCAGGTAGGGAACATGCTTTAACACTACACACTTGGAGAAGTAATCTGCACTTCAGTCTTACTTTTCCTATCATTGTTCAGCTGGCATGTTATAGCTTGAGAGACAAACTTGTGACTCAAGACTACTTGTGTGGCTTTGCTCTTGAAATATTATAACTCACTACACAGTGAGGTGTTTCAGTTCTCTTTCTAATGGGAAATACTGATTGATTATAACTGTATGCAAAGACCCTCTGTGGGCACTGGTCCCAGCTTTTTACAGGGCAACATTCCAGTCACTCAGGCAGTTCCCAGTATAGTAGCTAGCAATAGCAGTATACTCGAAAATGCATAATAATACTCTTTTCTGCAGCATACATCATCTGTGCCGGCTTCCCATGAGCTACTGAGATCTTTGTTCAGGAGTAAATTGGCAAAATTGTGGGGCAGCCCAGATGGAAAAAAGTTTTAGTGACACAAAATGGGCTGTAAGTAAAATGTAGATACCTGTGTCCAAAAGAGTGATGTTTTGCCACTAAAATTGTGAGGCACCAGAAATTGTACTTCTGTACATTGCTGGAAATAGTTTACTGTCTCCTACCCCTGATTTCCATCAGGATGCATTAAGTGGATGGTCTCACATGCTGGTATATATTCTTTGGGACCAAATCAGTGGGATGCAGCAGATCACACCAAACGCACACTTGGTAGCTCATTGCAGTCTTTGTGGCCATAAAGTGCTGTATTACCTACACAGAACAGCTGCAGCCTCTGCTAGTACCTTTACCCAGGCAAGAGTTTAACTGTGGTGCTGCATCGCTGGCAGAACTTAGCCTATACGGCAAAGGGGAGAATTTAACGCTGATCCTTGGCATTGAGACTATTTCTAATGCTAATTTAGTATTTGATTTTTTTTTTCTTTCATAGACTTTAAGCAATTAAATATAATGCCTGAGACTCAATTTGTTAAATCAGAGTAGCACTGGCCAACCTGTTCTAGCGCATATGGGGGACCCAATATGTTTGTTGTGCATTTGGAACATTCTTGTGTTCACCAACAATGTAAATTATCTATGCAGAGGCGCATTAAACTTTGAAAATATTAGAGAAATGTATTTGATCACACTTAGATGGGATGGATTAGAATGGATTTTGTAAAAAGCCTAGGTCATGCTATCTGCTTTTGCAGGTTAACCTTCATTATTGGTTTTCTTTTGGTTGCTCCTCAAATGTGGAATATATTTTTACTATA